TAGGAAAGCTCAGCTCTGCTCCCTTGTAGAGACGTGAAACTGCATCTGAAGACATGGTTTTGAGGTTTGAACATCGAGGTCTCTTTACGTAAGCATCAGCAATAAAACATCCTTATGTTGACCACATTTTCTTTTCCAGAGACATCAGAAAAGAACAGGGCTTGCTCCATAGGTCTAAAAAGGACACTCTGCCTCCTTTCTTAAAACCTTCCATGGTGTCGTTGCCACCTTTGGTTTTGAATTATAGAAAGATGGATATTTTTGTCCCTAAGCCAAGAAGACTGTGTGCCATGTGTCTTTACACAGCAGCTACATCTCACACAAAAGTGTTTTTCACCTGACTTGTCCCGTGGCATTTAAAAAGATCTGCACTGGACTTTGCCACATTCATTTTTTCCATCCCCAAGGCACTACTGTGAGTTGGTGGGAAGAAAAACATTGACTTCACTTAAGCCTGGAGAGAGGTCAGCGACATGTCCAGAATCACACGGTGACTCAGAAGACCTGCCTGGGCAGTTTCTTAATCAGTTTGAAGGTTGGCTATTTAAACAGCAGGAGATATTTATTCATTTAGGAAGTCTCTTAGGCTGTGTTTCTAAATGGTCACCATCTAGATTAAGGGGGAAAATCACGCACTTTTTACTCACTACTCCAAGTAAACAAAATGAAAATAAAAATATATTCAAAAAAGTTTGTAGAAAACTTCTCTCATGATAAATCTATAGTTGGCTATTATTAAGCCAAAAAAGCCTGTTTGAAAGCTATCTCATGCTTTTGAAGTTGACTTCACGGAGAAGGTTTGTGCCCCCATGACCGTTCCCACCCTCACCCCAATAGTGCCACTGTGAGAAAAATGCCCCCAAGTGGCAAGACCAACATCTAAGCCCACTGGATATTTAAAAAATTTTCTCATGTTTGGGTGAAAGCTGACTTTCCAAAACCTGCTGGCCACTTTTTCATCTTTACCTAGATGCTTGTACTGCAGACAGAATGTTAGAGAACTCGAGGAGGACCACAGGCAATTTAACGACCTTCTTCCCCACCCCAGCAGTTTGGGATACCACCTTTAGGCCAGTTTATGTTATTAATCAACTCAGGGCAATTACTGGTTCTAAATTAAGTTTCCCCTTTTTATGTTCAGCTGCAGTTGAAACTCATATTTTCTCCGAATCAATAAAATAATCTTAGAAGTGGGTTGGAATCTCCTTGGTTTTTCCACTCCTGTTAGGACACAATTCTCCTGTCCCTACTTTACCCTTTGCATGTTAAACAATTCTAGTTTCTTTAAGGATTCAATCTTTGTCTAGCTCCCTCTCCAGCCAGCTGTATGACTCCTCTCTGAGCCTGCTGTGAGTTTCTTGATTACGATCTCCAGTAGTTTGGAAATCTACCCACACCAGCGGCCCTCACCCTCCAAAATAAAGACAAAACAACTCACATACACATTCCCCAGACTGACAAGACGCATGGCTCACTGTCCCCAATCAGCATGTGTTAATTTTACACGTATGAGTCCATGTAGTCATCTGTAGGTTTCTTGGCCACTTTATTGAGCCAATTAAACTCTTTTAATTAAATTTAATTATCAATTAAATTCTAAGATAGTCACAAGTTTAATAAATTGACCAGAAAACTCTTAGCCACCTAATGTGGTAATGAAATGAAACCATGTCTTTCAAGAAGACATTGGCTGTGACAAAAACTAGAGAAGAAAATCCCTAGAATTCTTAGCAACATGGTGATTTAACGTTGCTCACCGAGACATATGGGTTTCCTCTAACTGATGGTAATCACAGGAGGTGGTCCTACTGGATGTAAAACAGGGAACTTAAAAGGAAGGAAAACTTTCTTTACACGTTGAAAGTAAAAGAAGCTAGGCTGATAATAGTTTCTGTAGATTTTAGATATGAAAAATTATAGATACTGGATTCAGTTATTAAAAAACATGAACTTAAGCTTTTTGATCCCTTTAAAGTTCCTGTTCAAGAAATGTGTTCAAACACAACCTTTAACAGCTCAATTTCTAAAATAATATCATATCGGATAGTAATTAGACTTTGGGTGGTGAACAGGATGTAGTCTACACAGAAATCGAAATATAATGATGGACACCTGAAATTTATATGTTATAAATCAATGTTACCCCAATAAAAAAAATAAAACCTTGATTTAACCTAAGACATTAAAAAACAATAATATCATAAAAGCAGGAGAGTGAACAAATCTCTGTACTACAGGAGAAACCTTACCACTAATTACTGAAGGGAAGTGCAGGATGCCCAGTGCGCTTGTTCAAGATCTTACTGGAGAGGATAGGGCAGAACATGAGCATGTCATTAAGGAGAAGCATGAGAAAAGACGCAGCACTCAGAGCAGCCCAGCAAAAACCAAAGATGGAGAAACTACTTTTCTCGTCTGTGCAATTTGCATTTGTCTCGTTCCCTTTACTAGCGCCATCTGAGCCCCTTGCACCTCACCATCTGTTGTCTCCACTCTTAGCCTAAAGTAAAGACACCCAAGTTACAGTGTGCATTCCAGGTATTTCGATCACTAAATGTCAGTTCAGTGACAGGAAACCTCAGTTAAAGCAAAAGTGGATTTCTCACAATTGTTATTGTGGCTTGCATAGGCCCAGGTTCAAATTTTTCACCCTTACCCCAACTCACCCCTCAACCCCGAAAAAAAAAGCAATAGAAAGGAATGGAGCACGTAATTTCTTTTTTTTTCAGATTCTCTAAGTAAATAAACCTTGGGTTCTGGCTGGACTGTGTGTCAATACCATGATGTCTAAATTCTCATCATACCAGAGTAGCCGAATCTTATGGTTTTAAAACTCCAACTGTTCTGATGGGTGGTTCCATCTATTAATGGCCACTTTCAATGCTGCCTATGTACACACTCTCAAATGAACTTCCGATGTAGCAGCTTGAACTTGCACTAAGCATAGCAACTCATCCACCCGTTAGAGCGACCATCCATGGGCCAACGAGTTTTAATTCTACCTGCATGTTCACCAGGTGCCTAACTGAAGACTGATACTACGTCCAAATCCAACTGCTTATCTTGCATTTCACAGCACAAAGTGAAATCCTTGGTGTTTGATTTTGTTTCCCAAAGAATTTCCATTCACCCAGTTCATATTTCTCAACAGGAAGTCATATAGACTTGGGAAATGATAAAATGTATGCGACCAAGAGCCAAAGATAATAATAGATAGATGTCAAATATACAAATATACCCATGCAAAGAGCTAGAAATAATACATTTGGGGGCATTTTCACAAAAAGTTGCCTCTTTAAAGAAAAAATTAAAATTACACTTCTGTACTCAAATTTTCAGATGTAACTCACTTTGTAGAATATTTGGAATATTGAAATCTCCTCTCATTTTTATGATAAAATTGAACTTGTATTTCTCTAGAACAAGTATTAGACCCAGAAAAATACAAAGAGCTCAGTAAGAATGCAGCAAAATGTACCCCCCAAAAATCACATATTTAAAGGTAAGATTATCTTTTACTAATAAGTTACTAAAAGTACTACTCAGAATAAGTTATGGAAAATGAACACAAAGTACTCAGAGTTATTTTTATATATGGCATAATGACTAAGAAGCTTAGAAAGAAAAGCAATATTAGAACAAAACAAATGGGACAGCAGAGTCAATTGGCTGCTATCAAGCCTTCCCCCTAACATGCTGTAAGGAGAGAACATACAAGTTGCATTTTTAAAAGTTAGCCTATTGTGGAAGCTTCTGCAGTTTGAAAAGGAATGGCTGACTTGGTTAAAGCCTAGAAGAGAGGCAGACGCTTTCATTCAAAATGCAATAGGATAACCAGAGAGCTCTCCCACCACAGACAGACTCGCCGCCGCGTAAGGGTTGTGGGGACCTTACACAGGGTTGGGAACGAAAGCCACTCGGGAGGGAGCTGGGGAAGGAGTCACAGCAAACAAGACTGCAGCAAACGTCAGCGTACAGATAACAATAGAATACACGAGAATTCAAAATAGGTTGATACAGCCTCTCTTCCCCAACTGGAATAGAAGTTCCACGTGGGCAGGCATTTTAATTTCGTTCACGGCCGTATGCCCAGCGTCTGGAACAGTTCCTGCTCATAAATATTTGATGAGTGAATGAACATAAACTAAGTTTCAGAAGACAGATTTGTCAGAGGAAATTAAATCCCACAAATATATAACAGGCACCTAAGCAGTACTATGCTAAGTGCCCACGTGCAAGGCAGAAGTAACTTATATAAGACTGCAGGATGACACGAGAAGGCACAGGGCCAGGCAGGAGGCGGGGCGGTGATGGTATCAAGGAGCCCCTTTGGGCAGAAGACAGCAGACATTTGGGATGGTATTAAATGATGGGTGGTAGGAAAGGAAGAAACTGGAACCCGAATGCCAAGCCCTGGGCTTAGTATTCAGTCCCCTGAGCTCCCTCAGGACAGGAACCACTTCATCTCCCTCCCCATGCCTAGTGCTAGCTCAGTGCACTTCCAGTAGGTGCTCTACAAACATCTGAGAATTGGAGAGCAGGCAGTACGGATCCAGGGAGAGCATCCAGGCTAGCTGCAGGATCTGCAGGCTGGCCAGGACCAGCCTGGGAATCGCCCACGCTTCCTTCCTCGTTCTCCGCCTCATTCACTTGAACAGCCACGGCCAGTCCAGAACAGGGACCGTCAGAGAGAGGTCTGAGACCTCGTGCCCCAGAATGAAATGCTAAAACGTCAAACCCTGGGGCCCCATTTGGGACCTCCTGAATCAAAATCCTGGGTGAGGGACCCAGAAACTAGCATTTTAAGTAAGTATCCAGCTAAGTCTCCTGCACACCAAAGTGAGTAGGATTTCGCAGACAAGTAAAAAGATCTAAAAAGAATTCTCTTTCAAGTACCCACACTAGGAACTGAAATCCCAAGGGCAAGGGAAACTAATATTGTAGGTGGTTACTGTGGACGAGATACTGTTCAAGATGCTTTCACATATAACAATTTAATATTCAATAATCCAAGGAGGTAGTTTTATCATATCTATTTTTAAGGAAACAAGCTCAAGGATAGTAAATAACTTGCCTAACATTGCACAGCAAGTACCTAGCAGGAATCCAAACCAGGTTTGTTTAATTCCTGAGACCACATGCCCCTCTATGTCTCGTTGCATCTTACAGAAATACAGAATAGAGAGAACTGAGACATTCTGTTGTGCCTGTCTTCAGGAAATGTACAGAGAGTCAGTTTCTGATCACTTGAATCAAGATGAATTTCTGGAAATCAAGATCTGAGGTTTTAATTATACGTGCATTAGGCCTAGACCTAGAGTGCCTAAATCATCTATGACTTTAACAATCCTAATAAAAAGGCCGAGCATTGGGTGAAGTGGCTTGTCTGGGGCGGAACTAGAAAACTCAGGTGCACAGGGCAGACAGTACCTTCAGAGTGAAGGCCAGGTAGGCAGGGGAGGACAACAGGGGAGGTGCAGACTGTCACATTTAGCGCTGCTGCTCTGCTCCAGCCAACAGGCCTGCCCAGGAGGCCAGGTCTTCTCATACTTCAAAAAGAAGCCAAAGTCCAGCTTTCCACGTGAAATATCCTGATTTTTAAACATAGATAACTAATTCAAAAGTTTAAAACACACCTTGAAGGCCAAACAAACAGGTCTGGAAAACTAGGACAGGCCCATGGACCTTCTGACTGCAAACTCTGATCTGGAGTATATACATATCAGGCAGTTAAGCTACACAGAGTAACTGGGATTTTGTTTAGTGAAAATGGTTTAGATCAAAGACCTGTGTCTGTGCATCCTGCTTACATGAAGGGATCTCCTGACTATCACTACTGCTGGTTTAATCTGATGAAACATGCATCGCATCGTCTTTTGACAGGTGTTATCTGATTTGGCCTGAAGGCCAAATTTTTGTAAATTGAATTGGGTCTTTCTATTACAGCACCATTGTAGGAATGGATGCCTCATTCTGGTTTTTGAATGATCTTCAATTAGCATTGGCCAATTTTAAATTTATGATTCCCTGGCCTTTCAGCTCATTTTAAAGGAAAAAAGGAGTAAATTCTCTGGGGGAAGAACCTTCAGTTTTAGTAACCATCCCACACTGCATCTGCTTTATAATAACTGCATTTGGCGATTTCCTAAGTGGAACTTCTCTGTACTGAAGCGTTAAGGCAGCTCTGTCTCAGAGGAGAAATTCTCTTAGACACACAAAAACCTGATAATGTGTGATTTACTACTATAATACAGTGACACACATTCTAAAACAGGAAGTTTAGAACAACTAATAGTGCTTTCATCCCTGCTATTATTTCATGATTTTATAACGTTAATTTATGCAGAATGACTATGAACCAGCGAATGAGTTTGTTTTTAACATTTCCACGGCCCAAATAATACTCCATTTTTTCAGTATTGACATCGCTTTAGGGGATATTTTCATATCTATTTCATGACAGGGGTAAAAAAATACCTCTCCCTCTGTGCCTTTATTTTTACATATTTATAAATGTATTTGTGTATGCATTTATTTCTTGTTATCAAGCAATGTTAACCGACCAAAGCAGACACCATCACTAAATCAAGTTAATACACTGTCACAACGTCACCAGTCTAAAGATGTTAAATGCAGTACAGACGCACAAGCATCAGTGTGAACGGATTAAAAAGGCACTTACAAGGATGACCCGCAAAGATTCCCAGTTTCAAGACCCAACAAAAAGCCTCCAGGAAGTGAAGCCGGCAGGTTCTACTCGCACTTATTTTCATGGCTATGTTTTTTTAATTGTAGTTTTCCACTGTAAAACAAAAGAGCACCAAGGGAGTCTGGTGGATTTTTGAGAAGAAAAGCCTCCTCTGTCCCGGAAGTCTGGAGCCGAGTTCCCGGAGCGGCGCGGCCGCGGCCAAGGGCGAGCGCCCCCCGCCCGGAGCTGCCCGCGGGGGCGGCAGACGGGTGGGCGGGGCGGGCGGGCTTCGGTTTTTTTTGTTTTTGTTTTGGCTGTTTCAGGAAAGCTCTGCGGTGCTAAGCTCACCGGCCTGCCGGCTCCTAGGCTTTAGAGAAACTAAAGAACTTGCTAGTCACGCCCATATTTTCCAAAGCGTCTTGGCGGCCCAAGAGCAGCGTGCGCAGTCGGCACGGGGTCCTCCAGCCGCCGGGAGGGCTCTGCGCCCTCCTCCTCTCCGTCCTCCCTCCCCAACTTCCTCCCTCCGCCCCTCCCCCGTCCTCCCCCTTCCTTTCCCCCCTCTCTTCTCCACCCCTCCCCGCCGCGTCCCACCTCCTCCTGCCCCCGCTTCTCCCCTCTGCCACCTCCTCCTCCCCTACCTCCTCTCCCTTACTCCCACTTCCTCCTTCCCCCACCCACCTCCTCCTACCTCCCTGTCTCCAACTTCCCCCACTCTTCTCCTCCCCCACCTCTTCTCACCTCCCACCTCCTCCTTGCCCTGCGTCCTCCCACCTCATCTCCTCCCCCGGCCCCCAGCGCGGTGGGCGGCTCCCTCGTTTCGGCGTGACAGATTTGGGCAGAATGTGGTTCCAAGGCTCTCGGTCAAGAATTCGGACGAGAAAAGTTTGCTGGCAGTGGCAGGGCTGGGCCGCCCTCGAGCCCCGGGCAGCCCGCTCGCGCTCCCCTGCCCCTCGCCACCGAGCGCGCGGCGCCCGCCGCTTGTCTTCTCAGTTTAACGAGGCGTCCGTCTTGGAGTTCAGCACAGAGAAAAGAGCAGCAATACTGTTTGTTTCAGAGAGGAAAATGAGGGCGCAAAAAGGGACTGAGAGGGAGAGAGGCGAGGAGAGGCAAGAGAACAGAGGAGCAAGTTGGCGCTGGTGCCCTGGTGGATGGGAGGATCCTTTAGAGCAGACTTGCATATTTGGATACCTGCGCGGGGGCAGGTAGGTGTAAGGGGAACGTGGCCTGGACGGCAGAGTCCCAGGGAAGGAAAGCGTGTGGTATTTCTGCTACCAGAAATGATGGTCACATAGTCTTGTTTCCCCCTTTCCTGTCTTGAAACTCAGTAGATCCTGCCACATCCGGGATGTGTTTGGAGGGGGGATGTGATTATGGGCTTGGTGCAGATAGCACAATGCCTGCTTTGCCAGAGGACAGGCGCAACATATAGCAGGCGCATAAAAGAACACAAAATATGTAACACAAAATAACAGCTAACATGTCGGGCATTGTGCTAAAAACTTTGCCGAATTTGTTGCATTTAGTTTTTGCAACAATCATGTGAGTCTTTTGTTCCCATTTTACACATGTGGACATCGAGGCATGGATAGGCTAAGTGACTTGGCCATGACCGCACAGCTTTAGTGGCAAACCTAGGACTTAAACCTTCATCTTGCTGACTCCAAAACCCGTATTATAATATGACGGGTATTTGCTTGTGTAGGACAGATGGTTCAGCTTTAGCCCAGATTGAACTGAGGGCTTGTTTGGAGGACTTGCAGGTAGATGAGTGCTCAGAGCTCTCCCAGACTTTTATTTCACAATGGGCGTAATCAGTGAGTGCATCTTTACTCCTCAGGATGTGACTGAGGCCTTTCATTAGCAGGAATCTCTGAATTTCTAGGCCTCTCCACAGTGGGTACTTAAGGAGCTATTGTCTCTAGTTAACCCAAGTCTCTGTGGCTCATTAGGAAATTCCCTGGGCCCTACGCTGGTATCCTCGTGCAAAATTACTGGACTATCCAATAGGATTTTAAAAAATTTCCCAAATTCCCATTCTTCTACAAAGGAAATATACAATAGCGAGGAGGGGGAGACTAACAAGGCAAGTTAAACTTGAAGGTTTAATGGGACCCTTGCAACACACCCAGAAATCTCTCCTGGACTATGATGAACACCCTGAGAAAAGCTGGGATTCTTGGCCCCTGTGGTATTTTACAAGGTGTTTACTCTGGAGACTAAGGAAATGGGTGCCCAAGTGGTGATGGTGATGGGACATTTGTGGCCCAGCATGTACTTGTGTGCCTTTCCTGTTTATCCCCAGCAAATGTAAAGCACACCTGGTTCTGCTAGGCTCCTCCAGTAGTTTCTTTTCAGAAGGTTTCAAGATACCACAAAGGAAGTTTTTTACTTCAGTTGCTATTTTTACTACTACTTAATATCTACACACTCATATGTCACCGGAACACACCCTAATCCTCACCCAAAAACGAGATAAAGATTTGACGAGCCCAGCCTTCTAAGAAAGTCAGCAGGAACCCTGCTTCTCAAATATAATGTTCTACACATGTTCCAATAGAGTGCAGAGGGAATTGGTGTTTAAGATGCTGTGTCGTGTAATAATACCTCAGGGTGCTATCTGATGGTTCATTTATTTCTAAACCTTGTACAGCTACCATATTGATAAATAAATCCCCCACAGGAGCACTAGGAAGTTATCATTTCTCTATTTTTATAGATTAAGAACTGAAGCCATCAAAAGGGGGCTTACTACAACCTGACACCCAAGCCTTGTTTTCTAGGGTGGGTGGGTGTGGTGGTAGGCCTGTGGCTCCTTAGGCAGACAACTAAGTGAGGGAGCAAAGCAGTTCCACGGGCCCGCTGTGGGAATAGCCATGAGTCCCTGCAATGGAAGGGGCCTCAGTGGTACAAGGCAGCTGCTCCACAACAGAATCGGACCACTTTCTCCAGGGTGGCCAACCATCTCTCGTCTTTTTGTCCTGACAGCCTCAATAGTAGAAGCTGAGGCCAAGGCTGCCTGTAAGGAATTCCTCCTCCTACAGGGGTCTACCTTCAGGCTTTCCTTATATTGAGGAGGAAGCCCTGGAGCGTGGTCAGAGAATCTCCTCCTTCCTGCAGGGGCCCCTGAAGAGGAGAAGAGAATCAGTTGAGGCAAATTGAGGCAAAGCCGAGTGCAGTGCTTGAAGCTGACAGCCCACCACCCAGAGCAAGTGCAGGTGGCTCAGAGCTGGTTCCTCTTCTGGCCATCGGAGCTCTTTGCTACTCCTGGGCTCCCCTGCATGCTCTACTGCCCAGGCCTGTCTGCCACTGCAGTGCCCTGTGCCCCAGAACTTTCCTGGTGAATGTGCCACTGCTGGATGCCATTCTTAGTCTCATTCCTACGGAATCCAGAGGCAAGTCCAAGCTGATATGCTCTGGGAGAAACAGTGGGCAAGGTAGGTGTTTGCCTTTGGACCGAGACCATCTGCAAACAAGGCTTGGATCCCAGGTCTGGCTCTGGGGCAGGGGTGCTTCAGGCCTTCGCTATGGCAGAACAGTGAGGGAGGTACTCCCGGCCTTCAGCACCTCTTAAATCATCCCAGAGAGAGAGCCACTTACTTCCGCATGCACAGGCTGCCGCTGCCTCTGTCACAACAAGATGAACTACAAGTAATAAAATCAAGATGAAGTTCTATGTAAATCTTTCCACCTCACAAAGATTGTAGAAAGTTGGAGATGAAGAGACCATCTAGTTCTACCCCTTCATTCCACAGCTGTACAAACTGAGGCCCAGGGAGGCATGTTGACTAACCGACCACCGCACGGCTGCTCTGCGGCAGGAGCTGCACCAGCTTCCCATGGCGATGTTGCGCGACATCCTTGCCGTCCCACTAGTCTATAGCATCTTTCGACTTGCGAAAGCTGGAGGAGAAATCAGCCCTCCAGCATCTTCACCTCCCTCTATGTTTATTGTTTCCAGCTGCTAAAAAGTGGCACTTTTCAAAGTGGGTCGGCCCGCCAGTCATTGAGGGTCAGAGCTCTGGGGAGTGCTGCTTTACAGTGGAGAACAGGCGGTGATAGGAAGCATAATTGCCAGCCTCCTGCCTGGCACCTGGGGATTTCTGTCATTCAAGTCCTTGGGTGTGTGCCCTCAGCAAATACTAACGCACAGAGTCAATTGCTAACTCCAGTCGTCTGTACATTTGCCCTCCAGGGATGGAAAGCAGGAGGAAATGCCATTTCCTAATCTAGTTGGCCTTAGATGGGACTATGTTGTGGCCGGGTGGAAACCTTCAGCGAGTCAATAATTCGTATTTAGGACCTACAATGGTCTCTAGGATCCTTTAAAGGACCGGGTTGTAGAGATAAATTCACAGATGGTTCTGGCTTTGTCTTTGCCTTAGTTGAGACCATTTGGTTGCAAGTAATCAACCTGAGCTGGCTTAAGCATTCAGGGAAATATGTGGATAAGGCAGTATCTCATGAAGCCCGAGGACGGATGGCTACTAGGAACCCAGGAAGTACGGCTTCCCCAGCCTTCATTTCTGCTTCTTATCCCTCTCTGCAATCAACTTTCCTTTCTTCTTCTCTACTGGCAGCGGGGTGGAAGATGATCCCTCAACAACTACCAGGTTTACATCTCCTTTACAGAAGAGATTAGCCCCAGGTGACTGGCTGTGCTCAGTCCAATACCAAATTTCCAGCAGAGAAAATATGGTGGGCTCAGCCTGATCCAGTCAGGGGTGGCCCCAAACAGGGGTGGCCCCAAACAAGGGCACTGAGACAGGCATGGCCAGGGCGCTCATGCTTGTGGGTGACTGAAGGGCAGTTCTCCCAGGCAGAAGAATGAAGTGCAGTGGGCATGCATTTAAAAAGTGTGACTGTCACAGGCTTCAATCAAATTAGTTATTGATAAAGAAAAAGTGGGAGGTCCAGGTGGAGTTTTGAGGAACAATTCAAACACTGTAGAGACCTTGAAGATTTGCCTAATTTCTTGAGTGATAAATTGCCTATCACAGAGCTGTATCTTTTTAGATAGTAGTTTCCCTGCAATTGAACCCCTATCGTCTGGGCTCTGTGAAGAAAGCCCATTCAGATAACTTGAGGAATTTCTTAACTTTTCATGCGACCGTCCTACATATTTTCATCCTGTGGAGGTGTGTTAGCTAGCTAGATACTGAAACTGATACGAAAGCGTAATTTTAAACTTGTATGTGTTGATTTAT